CCTCCCCCACCCCCACCCCCGCCACCGGTGCTCTCAGGCCAGAGCCCTTGCCCCCGGACACCGGCTCTTCCCTCTGGTGAGTCTGCCAGGGAGCTGGGCTCCGGGGCAGGCGGGGCTCCCAGGCTGATGGCCCCACCGCCCTGCAGGTTCAGCTCTGCAGACGCCAGAGCCCAGCTGCCTTCCTGGGTGCGTCCCCACGTCAAGGTGTACGACAGCTTCGGCCACGTCATCCGAGATGTGGCCCAGTTCTTTCGCATCGCTCAGAGAACCGTGAGTCTTAGCGCTAGCTGGCTGTGCCCTCGTGTCCCACCCAGGGGAAGGAGCAGGGCGGGACCTCCACAACCTCCTGTGAACGTCTAGATGCCCGTGCTGGCCCCCCGAGCTGCTGCTCCGAGTCTGGGCGCAGGAGAAGGCACTGCCTCGGTGGCCGTGTCACCCGGCCCCCTCCGCACCAGGAAGGCCACGAGTCTGGATGTGCACGTCCCTAGCCTGAGGCGCAGACGCACGGGTGCGTGTGGCTGGGCGACACGGCCGGGTGGGGCCCCACAGGGTGGAGGGCGGGGCGCCTCCCGCAGGCTGGTGGCACGCTGGGGCTGACGACCAGAGTGCCCAGCAGGCGGTGGTGGACTTCGTCACCCACGCGTGCTCCCGCAGGCTTGCTAGTCGCCGGGGACGCCGAGGGCAGCCTTTGTGTGGAGTACCAGCAGGAAGCCATCCGGGCCCGGCGGAGGCCCGTGGGGCTGCTGGCCGCGCTGGAACACAGCGAGCAGCTGGCCGAGGGGCCTGGGGACGAGGCCCTGTCCGCGGAGGAGGAGGTGCGGGGGCCGGGCTCCCTGGCGGGGGACACGGATGGCTCGGCCCACCTGGGCTCGGGCACCACCGTGCTCACCCCTGCACACCCGCTGGTCGGGAGGGCAGGGGGGTTTCAGCAGATGCCTGGTGGTGCTGTGTGCCTGCCCTGCCCCGGCGCGGCCCTCAGCCCTCAGCTGGGCCCCCAACACACCCCCGTGCTGGACATGGTCCGCTCACTTCCCGCTCCTGTGCCCGAATCTGGCCCTTCCTGTGAGCCTGAGCTGCGGGCAGGACCTTCTGCCCTGGGGCCTTTGTCCAGAAGCTCGTAATTCCCCAGCTGACCTGAAGCTCCCCACTTCCCGCCGGGCGTCAGTGCCCGCCCCCTGCTGTCCCGCCCTCTAGGCCCAGGGCGCAGCTGCCCCACTCGTGTTTCTCGTCCCTTCCCGCCGGTGCCCTTCAGTTACTGCCACGCTGCTGCCCGGGACCTGCTCTCACACTTGGCTCCCTGCAAGGGCCCGAGGGCACTTCTCCCGCCTGCCGCCCAGGGCAGTGTCAGGGCTTCGGGGCCCTGAGGGCCTGTGGGACACACCTGTGTCGCCCTCAGGCCCCCCGCCACTCCACCCCGTGGAGCCCTCGTGAGAAGAGGCCAGCAGAGGAGCAGCGTGGCAGGCGGAGGAAGGTCAGGCTGGTCGGCGGCCCGGTATGTGGGCAGCCCGCAGACGGCGGAAGTTTGGTGGGGCCCCTTGGCTGGTGTGGCTCAGGATGGTGTGAGGTGTGAGCGGGCCAAACCTGCCCAGTGGCCTGACTCAGCTGTCCCCGCTGGGGGACAGGTTCTGCAGGCGCTCTGCAGGCGTGCCGGCTGGAGCCAGGGCCCAGGGGAGGGGGCAGCTGGGCCCAAGGGTGGGTGCAGGGGTGGAGGGAGGACAGCAGACCCAGGGCCCGCACCAACCCCACCACTGGTGTTTGGCTGGATTCACTTCCTCACAGACGAGCTGCTTGCTCTGTGGATCCCACTGTCACCCTCCACCCGCCACGCTCATGCTGTGCCGGGGCCTGGCCTGCTCTGATCCCGTCCCTTTTCTGCTTTGATATTTTACTGTGAGAACATCTCACCTCCACTCAGCTCTCAGAACCAGCACGGGGTTCCCATGTGCCCTTTGCTGCAGTGCCACCGCCTGCCTCACATCTCCTTCCCCTTACTGGGGTCCCTGGGCAGTGCGCACCCCTCAGGGCAGACCCTCCACACTTTGGAGTCCTGCACACTTGGCAGATTTGGGCTTCGTTTTGTGTTGCTTTTTGGTGGGGTGGTCGGGTCCACGCAGGCCCGTGGGCTCCATCCACAGAAGGTGCTGTCTTCCCAGCTGGGCAGGAGCCAGTCCTGGTGGCCCTTTGTCAGGTCTGGTGTGGGGCCTGCAGCCGGGCTGGCTCCCCTGGCCCGGGTCAGGATGGGCTGTTGGCATGAACGTAGATGGTAAGGTGCCTGCGTGTGAGGCACGTGGTGTTCCCAGCCTCGGATGAAAGCAGTTAAGAGCAGCTGAGTTACATCCTAGAAGCTCCGGAAAGCCCCAAATGCCAGTGCCTCTGTCCGCCTCCCTCGGCTTCTGGGAAGAACCAGGTGGTGCCCGGGGAACTGACACTGAGGAAGTGGCCTAGGTGCCAGGGGCCTGGGCCTGGGCCTCTGAGGGCCGAGCTGGGGGGCAGCCTGGGAGCCTGGAGGGACCTTTTCGAGGGTCCGGGATCAGGGCTGGGGTGTGCAGCACAAGTAGGGCATGGGGCTGTTTGAAGTCTCGGTGTGTTGAGAAGCGTCCCCTGCCGTGGGCACCGGGACCTCAGCAGAGGAGCAGGAGCCGCCAGCCTGCACTCTGTGCCTCTGCTGTGCTCAGCGGGCCTGGCCATGTAAGCTGAAGTTAACCTGGGGGCCCTGCCACCCCCTCCTGGCTGCCCTCGGTGACCACAGCTGGGCCCCCTGCCACCCGCTCCTGGCTGCCCTCGGTGACCCCAGCTGGGCCAGGCCAGCTAAGCATCCTCCCCAGCAGCCCCCGATGGCAGCTCGCTGCCCCTGCAGATGGGGAGGGTTGGTGCCTCCTGACGGGCACCGGCTGTGTGTTGGCAGGAGGGGCCAGAAGCTGGCGCGGACACAGGCAGGGCCAAGCTGTTCATGGCGGCCGTGAAGCAGGCGCTGAGCCAGGCCAGCTTTGACACCTTTACCCAGGCCCTGCGGGATTACAAGAGCACCGATGACCTGGCGGCCCTGGCCGCTCACCTTGGCCCCCTCTTTGCCGAGGACCCCAAGAAGCACAGTCTGCTCCAAGGTGCCTTGGCCAGTAGAGGCTGCCCACTTGACGGTCCCACCCTGGGGGCCGTGCTGCGGCCGTGGGCTGGGGGGCCACCAGGGTCCCCAGTTGACCTGCAGAGGTGTGGGTGGGGACCCCGTGCGGTGGCTGCAGCCCCGGGGACCTGCAGGCCCAGACCCCGCCCCTCCCCACAGGCTTCTATCAGTTCGTGCGGCCCCACCACAAGCAGCAGTTTGAGGAGGTCTGCCGCCAACTGACGGGCCGAGGCTGCAGCTCCCGGCCCGAGCATGGCCTTCCCCGGAGGCAGGGAGCACAACTGGCCCTGGACCCCAGTGGTGAGGCGGGCCCTGCCTGGGTGGGACCCTCAAACTCAGACCCTGAGGGTGGGTGGCACCTGGCCCTTGGAGTGGGTCCTCATGTGGCCCAGCCTCCCTGTTCCTGAGACTGACAGATCCGTGTGGGGGGCCCCACTTTGGGGAGGTGTGGGCCCCCAGAACACACATGGCCCCGGCCTCCGAGGAGGACCTGCGCCTGGGGAGTCATGTACGCACAGGGGTCCTGGAGCCCCGTCTACCCCCGTCTCTACCTGGAGTGGGCCCTGCACGTCCAGAGCCTGGGAGTTGCTGTCCCCATTTATTAAGGAAGAGTCCATCTCTGGATGAGACTTCCCCAAGGACGGGAATCACGGGGGGCCCCTGGGGTTGGAGATTCCAGCCTGAGTCACCCTTCTGCTCCCTTCTGGACTGGGGTGTCCTTGTGCCTGCCCCCTACTGTCCTGTCCCCCATTTAAGGCGGGGGAGGAGGCCTGCCTGCTCCCAGCTGTCGGGGCCTCCAGCGGTTGTCTGAGGAGAGTCTGAGGCCCGGTCTCCCCTTGGACAGACCCGTCCCCTCCCTGGTCATGCTCTGGACCCTCAGGGACCAGCTGGGTGCCTCCTTGTCTCCGTGTTTCTTCAGGAAGGAGGGAGCCTGACCCCAAGCTGACTGTGTCCCAGGGTGCAGGCAGGCAGCTGGACCCGCACGAACACCTGAACCAGGGCCGGCCCCACCTGGCCTCCGGGCTGCTCCCTGCAGGTACCTGGACCCTGAAGAGGCTTTGGACCAGAGCCAGGAGCAGAGGGAAGACCCTGGCGGGGAGGAGTCTCCTGGGGGCCACTGTGGTTCTGTGCCCCCAGAGCAGGGGAGGCCAATGTGATTTCCTAGGAAGCTGGTGGACTGAGATGTGTTACCTTCCCACCAGGAGACCCCAGCCGCCGGCCTCCTGAGGGGTCTGGAGCCCCCGGAGCAAAGAAGCACCCACCTGCTGTGAGTGCCTACCTGGCGGATGCCCACAGGGCCCTGGGGGCCACAGGCTACAGCCAGCTCCTGGCGGCGCTGACCACTTACAAGCAGGATGACGACTTCGAGAAGGTGGTGGCCGTGGTGGCCTCACTCACCACCGCCAAGCCTGAGGACCTGCCCCTGCTGCAGAGCAAGTGGCCCACGTGGGGGGCGGGTGGGGGCGGGCAGTGGGGTGGGCGGCAGGGCCACGCCTGAGCGACGCTCCGCGCTCCCAGCAGGGTTCGGCATGTTCGTGCGCCCTCACCACAAGCAGCGCTTCCGGCAGACGTGTGCGGGACTGGGCACCCAGGCTCCAGGACCCTGGGAGGGGAGCCCTGTTACGCCTTCTGACCTTGTCTGCGGGGCTCGCGGGCCAGGTAGGGCCGCCTGCCTGGTGCTCCTGCCGCCCTGTCGCCCCAGCCCCCCTCAGCCCTGGCAGGATGGGCAGGTGGGCAGCAGGGAAGTGCCAGGCACCCCTCGGACTCGCTCCCTCCTGTCTCCAGGCCCCTCACTGCCAGAGAGACCCCCCGGGAAGACCCAGACCAAGATGTCCTCCTTCGTTACGCAGAGGCCAGCTCGGGGGGCGGGGGCTCCCGGCCGGCCCCCCGGTGCCCCCTGCGGGCAGGCACAGTCTGAGTGGGGTAGGTCTCGTGGGAGGGGCTGCAGGGACCATTGGGAGTGGGGGCCCAGCCCGAGCAGGCCTGTGGTGCTCACGTCAGCCCCCTTGCAGTGGGCTTGGTGTGTCCTGGCTGCAGGGCGGAGGATGTGGTCCCCTTCCAGTGCCCCTCCTGCGACTTCCACTGCTGCTGGGCCTGTTGGCGACAGCACCTCCAGGTCGGCAGCCAGACCCTGTGGACCCGGCCCTGTCCCCTGTGGACGTGGCCTGCTGGGCGTTGCCCCACATGGTGGGCTGAGGGGCTGGGGTGGGCAGTGGGATCTGGGCAGGTGTGTCCAGCGCCCTCTCTCCACAGGTCTCTAGGACGTGCCCGGCCTGCCATGCTGCCACCAGAAAGCAGAGCCTCACGCAGGTCTTCTGGCCGGAGCCCCAGTGAACACTGAGACTCTCTGGGCGCTGCAGGGTCTGCGGAGGCTGAGGCCGCCCCTGCCTGGGGCGCAGCCTGGACACTTGCCTGTCGGCTGTGGGTGGGCCAGGCCTGATACCAGAAACCCCTTGGCCAAGAGCGCACCTGACGGCGAGGCCAGGCCAGGCCAGTGTCCGTGGGGAACCCCTGAGACGGCAGCAGGATCTGGGCCCCCTGTGAGAGGCCCCAAGGCTACCTTGGGGTCTGGGGTGGGTCCACTGGAAGGTGCTTCCCTAGAACTTCCTTGACCGCTAGCTTGTGGGTGGAGCCCCAGCAGGAAGGAGGGGAGCCCTGCACCTTCTGTCCCGGGGACCTTCCAGGTCCTGCTTGTTCCTCAGGGGCCAGGGTTCTAATAAAGCTGCCGGCACTGCTGGGAAGCAGTCTGTGTGGCCCGGCCTCGGTGGTGGGGCGGGGGAGCCTGGAAGGAAGAAGACGCCTGGGCAGCCTCCCTCGCCACCTGGTTTGTTCAGAGCAGAAGCCGCTACCACCTCCACCCACCGGTTGCCAGGCCTGGTAACGGGGTCAGGAGCTGCCCGTGGTGCTGGTGGCCTGCTCGGGACCGCCCTGGCACTGGGCTCTGCGGGGGGAGGGGTCAAAGCCTGGGCCCCCAGGTGGCCGATCGCTCCCCTCAGGCGGGGCGGGGCTCCTCGGGGGCGTGGCCAAGCTAGCCCTTATAGGACGAGGCTCGGGAAGCCGCTGCCACTCCGGCGAGACCATGAGGCCCCTGTTGTGGCCGCTACCGGCCCTGCTGCTGGCGCTTGCGACGCGGGGGACGGCGGCGGGCGCGCCCACCTACCCGAGGCGGGACGCGGAGACGGGGGAGTGGCTTGCGTGCGACAAGTGCCCCCCGGGCACCTTCGTGCAGCGACCTTGCGGTCGGGACAACCCCACGACGTGCGGCGCGTGCCCGCCGCGCCACTACACGCAGTTCTGGAACTACCTGGAGCGCTGCCGCTACTGCAGCGTTATCTGAGGGGAGCGCGAGGAGGAGGCGCGGCCGTGCGGGGCCACCCACAACCGCGCCTGCCGCTGTCGCCCCGGCTTCTTCGCGCGCGGCGGCTTCTGCCTGGAGCACGCGCCCTGCCCGCCCGGCGCAGGCGTGGTCGCCCTCGGTGGGTGCAGGGCGGGGCCGCGGCGCCGGGCCCTCTGCCGAACGGAGCCAACCCAGCTCTCCTGACGCCGGCCTCCGCGTTCGTCCTCAGGCACCCCCAGCCAGAACATGCAGTGCCGACCGTGCTCCCCGGGCACCTTCTCCGCCAGCAGCTCGAGCTCGGAGCGGTGCCAGCCCCACCGCAACTGCACGGCCCTGGGCCTGGCCGTCAACGTGCCGGGCTCCCCGTTCCACGATGCCCTGTGCACCAAATGCACGGGCTTCCCGCTCGGCTCGCTGGAGCCGGGGGCACCGGGTGAGCGGGACGTGGGGGCGCGGAGGCCTCGGTGGGTTCTGGAAGTGCGGTGGGGACAGCCTAGGGGATGCCGTTGGCTGAGGGCGTCAGCGCTGGCGGGTGATGCCGTTTCCCGCCGACGTTGGGAAACAGGCTCCGAGGGTTTAAACGGCTTGCGGGAGGGAACGGCAGCGAACGTGGCGGGTCCCCTTCACGTCGCATCCCACCCCCGGCATCGGCCCACGAGCCCCGCCTCCTTGCCGGCCGAGTTTCCCGCGGTCGCCCCGGATCCTCCAGCCCGGCTCCAGCCTCACCCACTCGTTAGCGCGCGGGGATCCCTCGGTCCTGTTCCTCCGGCGCGCGGAGAGACGGTCACGGCGCGATGGCAGTTAGTCGGGTACCCCCTCGCCCCTCCCTCCCGCAGGGACCGAGGAGTGCCAGTGCGCTGTGGTCGACTTCGTGGCTTTCCAGGACATCTCTCCCAGGAGGCTCCAGCGGCTGCAGCAGGCGCTCGCGGGCCCCGGAGTCAGCCGCCGCCACGAAGGGAGGACCGCGCGGCGCCGCGGCGGAGGCTGTGGCGGCAGCTCACGGAGCTCCGAGAGGCACGCCCCGGGACGCTGGGGGCGCGGCTGCTGCGGGCGCTGCGCGCGGCCAGGCTGTCCGGGCTGGAGCGCAGCGTCCGCGAGCGCTTTCTCCGCACGCGCTGAGCGCTCTCCCCGTTATTTATTCGCTCCCCGCCCAAGCCCCCCGCATGGGCGGTCCGCAAGTCGCACCCCAGGAGGCTTTGGACCCGGCTCCTGTGGCGTTAAATTTATTTTTCATAAAGCCGATTGGCAAACGAGTGTGGTGTCTGGCCGGCGCGCAGTGGGCACACCTGGCGGGGCACACACCTGGGCGGGCTGCCCGGGTGCGGCCTGCTGCCTTCTCCCCCCTCCCCACCCCGACTGGGACGGACCCTCGATGGGGGAAGTGTTGTGGGAGACGGGGACAGCGGGTGGCAGCCGTCCCCAGGCCTCACTGCGTGATCCTTCCCGCCCCAGTTGTGCTCTCAGTGGTTAGGATGGTGTGGAGGGAGGGTTGCCCAGTCCCCGGGCTCTCACTGCGGAACAGAGTGGTCAACACGCAAGCCCGTGCGTCCTGGGGCACCAGGAGAAGCGTCCCCCTCAAGTTACTCCTCCTTTGGGCTCCACCCTCAAAGCAGCAGGGGATTTCCCAGCAAGGGACCGGCCAAGACCTCCCGGTAGGACAGCGTGTCTCGCTTTCTGGGAAACGTCGCCTTTCCCTTCTGGGGCAGGTTTGGATGACGGCTTGACTCATCAATCCAGGGGAACTCCCAGTCCTGCCCTGCCAGCCCCCTGCCAGCCTCAGAACCCCCTGCCTGACCCCCAGGAAGGCCCCAGGGGAGGCAGGGTCACAGCCCCCCACTCCCCCATGACTCATCACCTGCAGCTGGTCCCCATCCCAAGCCCTGACTCATCCCTTTCCCAGCATCTCCTCCTGGGCCCCATCGGGGAGAGCAGCTAAGGCTGTGACCCTCAGACACGAAGCCACCAGGCCTCTGGAGGAACAGTGGACAGGAGCCACTCCAACTGTCTTTATTTCACCCACGGCTAGGCTCATGGGGGGGTTGGCAGCTCCTGCAGGGGCCGTGTGGGAGGGTCCTGAGGACCAGCCTTGCCTGGAGGGCCTCTGCTCCTGGACACAGGCCTGGAAAGGGCTTTCTAGATGGCTCACCCCAGCCCTGAGGGGGACCCCGCCCTTCACCGCCAGCTGGAAGCGCAGGCCCAGCACACCACCAGCCCACCCCCGAGGTGGTAACAGTGATCATCCTAGGTGGGTGGCAGGCAGGCTTGCGGGGGGGTGGGGGGTGGGGTGATGCCCACTCCCAGCACAACCGCCTAGCTTTACCGTCCTTGCTGGGGATCAAAACAAGGTGGCTGGGCCAGTGGAGGGGACACACAGCCTCCCAGGCAGGTCTCCCCTGCCCCATCCTGAGGCTGCATCAGGACAGGGACGGAGGCGAGCCCAGGTCTTCCTGAAGCTGACACCAGCACCCCAGTCCGCCTCCAGGATCAGAGGGGACAGAGGCTGAAGACAGCCATGGCCCCCTGGCCCCCTCCATGGGCACGATGTGGCCCTGGGCACTGTGAAGGGCCCCACACCTCTGGAAAAGCCCAGTTCCAAGCAGCTGCCCCACAAGGCCCCACGAGGGTCCAGGCCGGCAGGCCTGCTGGAACAGCAGCTCCAAAGGGAGTGGTGGCCTGCCAAGGCCTCACCCCGGGGCCCCAAAACTGGGCCTCGGGGGCGGGGCCCAGGCCCAACGTGGGGGTCTGGTGGGGTCCCTGCCACCCCAGCTCCCCTCGGCAGAAGAAGCCTCCGGACGCCTGCGCTTTTCTGGACACAGAGAAAAGTTTGTCTTAGAAGAAAAACAAAGCAACCACAAGGCAAAGCCAACCCAGCCCCCCGGGGGGATCAGCGGCGGAGCCAGCAGGAGCTCTTCAGGGCAAGCGGAGGGCACCCTGGGCCAGCTGCGCCTATGTGATGTCCCGCTGCCGCGGCGGCCGGTGCACGTTCCGCACGACGCACTTCACCATCCACTCGATACCCTCACGCACCCCTTTGCTGTGGAGACAGCGGGTGTGAGGTGGGGCCAGCCGTGGCCCCCGGCGCCCAGGGCGAGCCCCACTCACCCCGTGAGGGCCGAGCAGGCCTGGGTCAGGCAGTCACGCCTGCCGATCTTGGAGGCGCAGTCGCTGAACACAGTCTTGATGTCGGGGATGGAGAGGCAAGTCTGGGGGAGGCGAGGCTGCGAGGATCAGGCTCAGGCCCGGCCCCAGGGCAGCTCCTAGAGCTGCGGGGGGCACCCCGGGGCTACTCCGTCCAGGAGGGGCCCTGCCTGGCGAGCCGCCCCAGGGGAGCAGGTGTCAGGAAAGGTCTACAGGGAAGCGGCGCTCAGGGCCCCTCCACGCGGGTGAGGCCAGCGCTCCCAGAGAATGAGGCCAGCGCAGCTGCTGTGCTCAAGGGCAGCAGACAGGTCGGGGTCAGGGCTGACTCCCACCCTGGTCCCTCTGCATTTTCTTTCCAGAGCTTTCTTTCACCTGGGTCTGCCCAGCAGGAGGCTCCCGATCCCCGGCAGCACTGTGGCCAGAGGCCTGGGGTGGGGGCAGCCATGCTCTGGTGTCTGAGGAAGGCAGCAGCCCTCCCCTGGGAGAGGCACCCTGTCCCCTGGGAGTGGGGCCCAGTGGGCCCAGGGGCTCACCTCAATGTCCTGCTTGTTGGCCAGCACCAGGATGGGGACACCGTCCAGCGCCTCGCTTGTGACCATCTTCTCTGGGGCGAGCAGAGAGGCGGCAGTGAGCGCCCTTTGCCCGCCTCTGCCCAGAGGTCCCCAGGCCCTCGCGGACCCCCTACAGGCGCGCACGCACTCGGCCCTGGCGCCCCTCCCCCTCCCCCACCCAGCCCAGCTCTGGAGGTGGGCTGTGCAGACGGGACCGCCCGCTCCCCGCCTCCCCAGCCTGGCCATCTGCACACACCGAATGCTCGCTTGGACTCAGACAGCCGCTCCTCATCCGTGGAGTCGATGACGTAGATGACGCCGTGGCACTCCGCATAGTACTGGGCGGGAGCAGAACGGGATGCTGAGCCGCGGGCACCCGGCCACCTCGAGGCAGCCCCCAGCTGGAAGACCCTTCTGGGGTGCTTCCTGGGGGCGGGGAGGGAGGGCAGAGTGGAGAGGCGCCCCAGACCCTCCAGGGCCGGGGTGGCCACCTCCCTTGCCCACTTGCCCGGTACTGTGCTCCGAACACCGCTTAAGCCTCCGCTCCTAGGACCCACCCACACCTGCTGGCCTGACGGCGGCCAGAGAAGAAGGGATGGGGCTTGGGGTCTCAGCAGACTTGAGGGTGGGGGCAGCGGCGGCTTGCCATCGGGAAGCCACGGAAAGCCCACCGAGGGGCGAGTCCAGAACATTCAAAGCAGTTCTGCTCCCTGTGCAGGACAGAACCAACACCTGAGCCAGCGCCAGCGAGCTCGGAGCTCTGCAGGCTGGACCGGGGCCGGGAGGGTGGCCGGCCCTGGGTTCCCTCCCAGCAGTGGGCACACAGGAGCCACCCCGACACTTAATACCAGAGCCCGGGGTATGGGGAGAGCTATGGGGGGTGAACGGCAGCACCCCTGGGAAAGGACAGACACACGAAACGGGCCTGGCAAGTCAGCCTTCTGTTCCACTCAGAAAAGAACACGGAAATGCCCACACTGGTGAAGCGGGTGACGCCCCCACGTGCACTCCAGCTCCTGCCCAGCGTGAGCCCAGGAACCGGGAACACCCACATGTCCCACAGGGCATGACGCCAACTTGTCCCCGCCCCCCCAGTACAAGTCAAGCCTTTGTACCTGCACTCGCTACAGAGAAGGAAGCCCGACACGGGTGGCCTCTGGGTCTGCAGACCACGTGTCCTACACCCGGGGCCTCTCTGGCCAGCCTGCTGGGTGACGCAGGGCCAGGAGCTGCAGCCCAACCGTGGAGGCCTCCGAGGCAGGAGGGGACAGCGTGGGGTTTGCAGCGAGCCAGTGAGGGAATCACTGCTCTGCCCCTGGGGCCCCTGTGGTGGCAGGGGACTTCAACCCATGTGCAACAGGGCCCCAGCAGACGGGGCCAGGTCCACCGCCACGCCCTTGCGCATCGGGTGACAGCCAGGCAGCAGTGGCAGGGATAGGAGCAGCACCCCTGGGGCTGAGCGTGAGCCAGACCTGAAGCACGAGAGGCTGCCCTGAGCCCGCGGCACCCGCCGTGCCCAGACCCTGATGGTGGTATCACCTGTGGCCTTGCACTGGAGGGTTCTCGGCTGTGGCCTGGAGGGACAGAAGCCAGAAGCGCCAGGGGGTCTGCTTGGTCCACAGACCTGGCCTGAGGCTGGCACGCGCACAGACCCGTGGGCAGCAGTGTGCGACACGAGCGGAGGTGTGGGTGGACGGACAGCAGTGGACACGCGAGTGAAGACCCGCCAGACCGTGCCGGATGGCACGGGGGTGAGGGGCAGGCCCCACGACAGTGGCTCAGATTCAGAGCGGGAGCAGAAGCCCCACTTTCCACCCCTCCTGGTGACTCAGAGCTGGGGTTAGGGGTGTGGTCACCTCCATGCTACCTGCTCACAGGGGCCAGCAGGGCACCCACCCTGGCAGGGGCACCTGACGCCATAGGCAGGAGGCAGGGCACCCACTCCACCCGAGTCACAGAGCACACGAGCAGCCCAGGGTCCCTCCAAGACGGCAGGCTCAGCAATCAGGGCTCAGCCCCTCATGATGAGGCAACAAGGCCACGCCACCAACAGACGTGGAAGCTGGTGGGGGGATGGGGGGGCACGACCAACCCAGTTTCCCCTCAGGAGGAGCCAGTCCCCAACCAGAGGCGTGTGTGTGCAGGTGCACCTGTCACCGGCTGTGGCCTGGCTGCCGTGACAAGCAGTGCACCCAGTGCAGATCCCCTTGTTGGCTCCTGCAAGACCCACTCTGACCCATAAAGACCATCTGACCATGTCACAGCCGCCCAGGGCAGCCCACCATGGTGACCTGCCACAGGGATGGAGTCCCAGCCAGCTTGGCCCGACATGGGGCAGCATCTGAGATGACCCCACCCCTGCCCAGGCCCGCACCCGCCCCATACACTTGCACCCCAACCTCTGCTGCAGCATCTGCCCCCCAGACCCTGGCCTATGACAGAATGTCAGGAGCTGTTTCACACTCCCCGTGTGAGTCTAGAGTTTGCACAGACAGCCCCTAGCTTGGCTCTGCCTTGGTCCGACTTAAATGGCCACAGGAGGTCTGTCAGTGACCTTCTGGCCGCAGGATGGAACCTGTCCTCTTGGCTAGAGGTCAGGACGGGGGGTGGGGGACACTTTGGGAGGAAAAAGGAAAAAGTGACCAGGTACCTGCTGCTGGGATCAAACCAGAAATCAAGACCAGGGCGCACGAGCCACCAGCAAGTGCTGAGATGGGCACATCTGCCCCCAGAATCAGGGTGAGCTTGTCTGTGCCCCTGGCACTAGGCTGTACCAAACCCGCCACGCCAATCCATTGGGAGGGGGCTGAGGGAAGAGGCTTGTCCTGCCCTGTTCTCTGCTGGACCCCGGTGCCTGGCACAGGCTGAGCTGAAGACCGACTCCAGTCTCAAGGTCTCAGAAACGCTTCAAACCTACCTCGAAAGAGGAGACACGTGCTGTGGGCTGTGGAGGACACCCTCCCCTGACGGGGAAGGGGCCACCATGGAGGACAGGCCCTAAGCCAGGACTGAGGGGGACCCAGTAGGGGAGACTCAGGCCCCCGTGCTGAAGCTGAGCACCAAACAGGCGCTGCGTCTCCCCCAGGTCTGCTCCTCGACCGTTCTTCATCTCGTTCCGTTCTGATCAGCAACAAAATCTCTAAGCCAAAAGGAACCGAGTTTGTCCCTGCTCTTGGGGGAAGTGACTTGGGAACTGGGATGGAGGTGAGCCTCAGGAACCAAGTGGGTGACGGAAGCCGCCAACAGGAAGAAAAGAAGGGGAGTCCCAGGCCTTCTGAGGAAAGGCAGGAAGAGACCACGGTGCCAGCTAGAGAGATGGCACGACAGGCAGGCCAGGGAGTCGATGTGGCATCCGCCCACCTTACCTTGTCCCACAAAGACTGCAGCTCCTCTTGCCCCCCTAAGTCCCAGAACATGAGGCGGGCCTTTCCAAAGTCCACAGTGCCGACTGGGGAGAAAAGGAGACGGGTGAGGCTGTGGCCTTGGTCCCTGACACACGGGCTCCCAGCTCTCCCGGGAGGAGCAGGCGGTGCCGGCACTCCGCGATGCTGGGGCCAATGGGAGCCAGAGCAGTGGCCTCACCCTCGGCCTCCGTACACTGCAGCATCCTCAGGGCTCTGCCCCCCCAAACCCACAGCCCTAAAGGACCCCCTTACTGTTTAAGCCCACAGTGGTGGTGATTTTGGACAGACTCATCCCCTTGTAGTTATTGTTGAACCGGGTCTTTGACTGCTCCAAGAAGGTCTAAAAGTAGAGACAGAGAGGCGTGACGTGAAAACTGGGAGACTTCTCATGGCTGCTTCACAAATACCCCTACTTGAGCAAACAAAACAACGTTTTGCTTTTAGAGCAGCTAGCGGTAACTGTCCCATGGCCTTAAGCGGAGTTCGGATCCTATCTGGGTACAGAACATGTATTTAAAAGCATAAAACCAACAGGACCATAGGGCAGCGGGGGAGTAGGGGTGTTGACACGGGACCGCACGTACCGTCTTCCCGGCGTTGTCCAGACCCAAGATCAGGATGCAGTACTCATCCTTCTGGAACATGTACTTGTACAGACCTGACAGCAGCGTGTACATCCTGCCCTGGGAACCCGAGATCGGTCACGGGCGAACCGGCCCGCACCGCGCCTCCCCAGCGCCCCGCAACAGGCAGAGGGTCTGTCTGCTTGCTTGACTGCTCAGAGCTGGAGCCCTGAACGGGGATCCTCCTGACCCGCCGCCCCTCAGCCTGGAACTGCCGCCGCCGCCTTCGCCTCCGCAACTGCTCCCGCCTTGGCCCGGAGCTCCCGGCGCCCTCGCTCCCACTCCCGGCCCGGCCAGGGCGCTCCGCTCGCAGGCAAAAGGCGGCCAGTCCCGCCCCGCTTCACCCCGAGCGCGGCCCCCGCTCCCCAGCCCGGGCTCCCCTAGGGCTTCGCTCCGCTCGGGTCTCCCGCGAGCCGCCCGCCTCGCACCCGGCCCGCCGCGGGCTCAGAGGCGGGGCGCATGGGTGCGGGTAGAGGGCGGCGCGGACAGACTGCGGACCGGCCGCCGGGCCCGGGCCCAGCTCCGCTCGCCCTCCTCGACTTACTTGCGCCCGCCCGGCTGGGCCGCGGAGCCGGGGAGCAGGGGAGCCGAAGAACCGGCGGAACCGCAGCGCGCCTGGCCCTCCGACCCCACGCTGACCCCGCGCTGACCCCGCGTGGACGCCGGCTGGCCACCAGGGGAGGGGCGGAGCCGTCCCGGCGGCCCCCGCGCCAGGCACTTCCGGCGGCGGCGGCGGCGGCGGCGGCGGCGGCGCTCGGGCGGAAGTGTCTGTCGGCTGCGGGGGCGGAAGCGGGCGCGGGGCGCGTTTGGCCGGTGAGGCCGGCAGGCCGTCTGTGGCGGCGGCCGGGAGACGGCGCAGAGGGCTGGGCCGGAGGCGAGGGGGTCTGGGCGACGGGGCCTGGGCCCTTGGTGGCAGGCCGAGCGGAGGCGGGCGGCGCGGGGCCCGGGGGGTGGGCCCGGCCGGGGGCATCGGGCTGGGACGCAGATACCCCGGAGGAACTTGACGGCAGCTCCCGGGAAGGGAGCAGAGGCCGTGGGGCCAGCGGCCAAGGGCTGGCTCTGGCTCTTCTTCTCGGAACTGGAAACTTCTCTCGGCCCAAACGGGAGGCAGGGCGGTTCACGGTTCCGCAGGCTGTCCGCCGAGGGCGGCGGTTGGCCATCGCTCAGTGCCAGCCTCGCGGGGACGGCCGGTCCCGGGTTCATCCGGCTTCTCTTCCCCGCATCTCTGGCTCCCACGCCTCCCCTCTGAGGACCCAGGGACCCGGCCCCTCCCGACAGGATGGACGAGGAGAGCCTGCAGACCGCCCTCCGGACCTACGACGCGCAGCTGCAGCAGGTGGAGCTGGCTCTGGGCACTGGCCTGGATCCCTCGGAGCTGGCAGATCTGCGCCAGCTGCAGGGGGACCTGAAGGAGCTGATCGAGCTCACTGAGGCCAGCCTGGTGTCCGTCAGGAAGAGCAAGCTGCTGGCGGCGCTGGATGGAGGGCGCCCAGCCCAGGAGGATGCTGAGTACTTGGCTTTCCAGGAGGCCGTTGCTGAGGCAGTGGAGGTGCCAGTAGCCCCCGAGGCAGAACTGGAGACTGTTCCTATGAGAGAGACCGGGCCAGGACCCACGGAGCCTGGGCGGGAGGAGGACGAGGGGGAGGACGAGGACGGGGCAGAGCTGAGTGGGAGGAAGGTGAACGCCCCCTACTACAGTGCCTGGGGCACCCTGGAGTATCACAACGCCATGATCGTGGGCACCGAGGAGACGGATGATGGCTCCCCGGGCGTGCGCGTACTCTATCTCTACCCCACTCACAAGTCCTTGAAGCCTTGCCCGTTCTTCCTGGAGGGGAAGTGCCGTTTCCAGGAGAGCTGCAGGTAAGGCCTGGGTTCCCGGGGCCCCTGGGGGCGTTTGGGGGGGGGTGGATTGCAGACAGGATCAGGGGCTAGGTGGGCCCTCTGGGCTTTGAAGCTTTGTCCTTCTTTGCCCAGCAGAGTGCTGACAAGAAGGGACCTTGGGGGGCAGGGGATTCCTCTAGCAGTGCCCTTGTTTAGGTGTTTAGTTGGATTTTCCCCGGGTAGAAGAAGTGTGGAAGGGCTGATGTTGGAAAGGATGGACTCCCCGCCCCTCGCCCGCCCGCCCTCATCACCAGTTTTATTCTTCAGAATGAAACTTCTAAATTTTGCTTTTTTTTTTTTTGCGGTACGCGGGCCTCTCACTGTTGTGGCCTCTCCCGCCGCGGAGCACAGACTCTGGACGCGCAGGCTCAGCGGCCATGGCTCACGGGCCCAGCCGCTCCGTGGCGGGGGGGATCCTCCCAGACCGGGGCACGAACCCGCGTCCCCTGCATCGGCGGGCGGACTCTCAACCACTGCGCCACCAGGGAAGCCCTAAAATTTGCTTTTATTATAGAAACTTGATTATAGAAGTTGTCAAGCACATGTGAAGTTAGAGGGAGTAGTGTACAGGCTGACCATGCTCCAGCTTCAGGCGTCATTGCCTGTCAAGATCGTGCCAGTCTTGTTTCAACTCTTCCTGCCTCTGGATTACCTTAAAGCAAGTTGAAATTACTGGGCTTTTCACTTATAAATACTTCAGGATACTACCCTAACTGAGTGATAAGGATGTTATTTTAAAAGCTATCTCCATGTCGCCGTCACACTTAACGGAATTTAACAGCAGTACTTCGTTCGTGTTCAAATTTCCACAGTTGTAATGATGTTGCTTGTTGCTTAAGCACATGATTTTAACTTTGCTTCTTTTATTTTTTCTTTGCAAAGAATACTTATCGAGATTTTCAATAGATGATTTTCTTTTTTAGCCAATAGTCCGGGGTAACTTCCTTTAGTTCTTCCGTTGTCTTATTTTTTTATAGATTCTTGCTGGGCCCTAAGTCTTACTTGCTACATTTCCCCCTTTTTTCCTTTCATTCCCTGTAAGTTTTGTGAAAGGCATAGCATGCATACAGGAAAGTGCACGACAAATCAGTCATAAGCCTCCTCCAGCTTCCACAGGGTGGGTGCGCCCCTATCCTCAGCAAACAGTCATGGAGCAGAGGAGGGAGCCCTCCATCCTTTCTGCCACTGGTCCCTCTGGAGGGTTCCTCCCCATCCCTGTGCCATGTCCTGTGTGGTGATGAGAACTAACGTGTCCCTGTGCTGCGTCCTCTGGGCAGGCACTGTTCCGAGGGTTTCATGCGTATTAATTCGCCTGGCAGCAGGCCCGTCAGGTAGGCCGTAAGGCTGCTGTGGTCGCTGGGCCTCCCAGGCAGCCAGGCTCTGAGACGAGCCGGCTCCCCTCTGCCGTGCTCTCAGCTGCTGCCTGCTGTCAACTTTAGGCCCAACCCATGCAGCCCACGAGCATTCCCCTCACCACCACCCGGGTCTGATAGTTATTTTCTTGCACTTGTTTTGGATTTTTAAAATTTACTTATTTAAAATTTTATTTGAAAATTTTAAAGATAAAATAGTGTTGAAGCACCCTGTGACCCACCAGTCTGTCGCAGTCCCCTCCCCTTCTTGGGAGGCTTGTTGGCACATCTGTGGTGTGTTTCTCTCTAGTACACATGAGACCTTTATAGACACATGCAACTGTGAATAGGACATGTTTGTGCTTTATTTTCTAACTAAGTGGTTAGCATGCAGGATGCTTCGTTTTGCAGCTCTTCTCAGAGAGCGTGTCTGTGAGAAAACTCCATGTTGATATTTATAGAACTATTTTGTGCATTTTAACTGCTGTGTTATTTTCCTCATGAATATGCCACATTTTATTCTGTCTCCTGGTGTTTCCCAGTTTGTTTGTTTTTTTAAATTTATTGATTGATTGCTGCGCACAGGCTTTCTCTAGTTGCGGTGAGTGGGGGCTACTTTTCAGTGAGGTGCACGGGCTTCTTATTGCTGTGGCTTCTCTTGTTGCGGAGCACGGGCTGTAGAGCACAGGCTCAGTAGTTGTGGCGCACGGGCTTAGTTGCTCTGCTGCATGTGGGATCTTCCCGGACCAGGGCTCAAACCTGTGTCCCCTGAATTGGCAGGCGGATTCTTAACCACTGCGCCACCAGGGAAGTCCATTTTCCCAGTTGTTATTTATTACAAACAACGTGCTGTGAACATCCTAGTGCACATCTTTCGTCCCTGGTGAGAATGTCCCCGGTGTGTAGCAGTGTGGAGAACACGCGCATTTTCTGTCCTTGTGCGCTGTGCGGTTCCCAGTCCCTGGTCTGCTCCGTAGTCACCCTCGGTCACGTTCTCTTACTTGCAAATTCGTGTCCACTGAGAGCTGGGGAGGTGATCTTGACTGAACTTGTATTTCCTTGATTATTAGCAAGATTGAGCATTTTTTCGTACATTTGTTCTAACGTCATCACTCTGTTTCAATATCCTTATCTGTAAAAACAGAGATGAGGATGTCTCTCACAGCTGTTGGGAGAACGGGATGCGTTAATAGAAGTAAAAGAATATTGAACAGTAGCTAACATGTAGTAAGGACACAGTGAACTTCAAATTTTTATCTTGTTATTGTAAAATAAAATCAGACAGAGAAAGTAAAGATAGCATGAGGAATCATTGTAACATTCTAGTACTCGCTGCTCAGATCAAAACTACAAATTTGCCAATTACCCCAGGAGCCCCTCTGTTTGCCTCAGCCCAGACACAGCCTTCTCCCTCCTCCAAAAAGAAGCACTGTCTCGACTTTTATGATAATCACTTACTTGTGTTCTTTGTTGCTTATCACTCAGGTGCGGCCGGGTGTAAACGTTGTAGTTTAGTCTTGCTCGCTTTTTAAGGCTGCTGTGTCTGCACCCCGCCCCCCCCCACCCCCGCCTTTCCTGGCCTCACAGTTTCACTGTTGAAGGACCAGACCCTTTGACCGTCATCGACCGCCCTGGTGCAGCCCAGCATGTTCCTGTGTTCACCGCAGGCTGGCATCTGGATCCAGGGACCTGGTCACACTCAGGACCCCCAGTTGGGCATGTCTCTAGGTGTTGTGCTTTCGTCAGGAGGCACTTGATGTATAGCTGCCAACGGTGCTCAACGCCGAGATCTGCTGATACAGTGTGGATTGCAAAACAGAGCT